AACTTTTCCAACCCTAATCTTCTATGATTGTATGTAGGGCTGTCAAGCGATTAAAACATTAATTGCACTGTTAAACAATAATAGAATACCATTTATTTAAATATTTTTGGATGTTTTCTAAATTTTCAAATATATTGATTTCAGTTACAACACAAATACAAAGTGTACAGTTCTCCCTTTATATTTATTTTTATTACAAATATTTGTACTGTAAAAAACAAAAGAAGTAGTATTTTTCAATTCACCTCTTACAAGTACTATAGTGCAATCTCTTTATCATGAAAATTGAACTTACAAATGTAGAATTATGTACAAAAAATAACTGCATTCAAAAATAAAACAGTCCCTACAAGTCCACTCAGTCCGACTTCAGCCAATTGCTCAAACAAGTTTGGTTTCAATTTGCAGGAGCTAATGCTTCCCGCTTCTTGTTTACAACGTCACCTGAAAGTAAGAACAGGCGTTCTCATGGCACTGTTGTAGCTGGGGTTGCAAGATATTTACATGCCAGATGCACTAATGATTCATATGTCCCTTCATCTTCAACCATCATTCCATAGGACATGCGTCCATGCTGATGATGGGTTCTGCTCAATAATGATCAAAAGCAGTGCTGACTGATGCATGTTCATTTTCATCATCTGAGTCAGATGCCACCAGCAGAAGGTTGATTTTCTTTTTTGATGGTTCGGGTTCTGTAATTTCCGCATCGGAGTGTTGCTCTTTTAAGATTTCTGAAAGCATGCTCCACAACTCGTTCCTCTCAGATTTTGGAAGAGACTTCAGATTCCTAAACCTTGGGTCAAATGCTCTAGCTATTTTTAGAAATCTCACACTGGTATCTTCTTTGCATTTTGTCAAATCTGCAGTGAAAGTATTTTTAAAACGAACATGTGCTGGGTCATCATCCGAGATTGCTATAACATGGAAATATATGGCAGAATGTGGGTAAAACAGAACAGGAGACATACAATTCTCCCCCAAGGAGTTCAGTTACAAATCTAATTAACGCATTATTATTTTTAACAAGCATCATCAGCATGGAAGCATGTCCTTTGGAATGGTGGCCAAAGCATGAAGGGGCATACGAATGTTTAGCATATCTGGCATGTAAATACCTGGCAACGCCTTCTACAAAAGTGCCATGCAAACGCCTGTTCTCACTTTTAGGTGCCGTTGTAAATAAGAAGCAGGCAGCAGTATCTCCCATAAATGTAAACAAACTTGTTTGTCTTAGCGATTGGCTGAACAAGAAGTAGGACTGAGTGGACTTGTAGCCTCTAAAGTTTGACATTGTTTTGGTTTTGAGTGCAGTTATGAAACAAACAAACAAACAAAAAGAAATCTACATTTTTAAGTTACACTTTCATGATAGAGATTGTACTATAGTACTTGTATGAGGTGAATTGAAAAATATTATTTTTTTATTTAACATCTTTACAGTGCAAATATTTGTAATAAAATAATATAAAGTGAGCTCTGTACTCTTTGTATTCTGTGTTGTAATAGAAATCAATATATTTGAAAATCATCCAAAATATTTAATACATTTCAATTGGTATTCAATTGTTTAACAGTGTGATTAATTGTGATTAATTTTTTTAATTGCCATTACTTTTTTTGCGTTAATCATGTGAGTTAACTGTGATTAATGGACAGCCCTAATTCTATTATATTTAAGTGCCAGGGTATATCCCCTGTTGCTTATAGGAATGTGAGTAATTCAGTATGTTTTAACTGTATACATACTAATGATAATTCCTAAGTGCAACGGCGAAACTTTGGTAAATATACTGGTGGTCAGTTCCTAACATCCTATCCTAATAGGATATTGTGCCTTTTAAAAACTGGAAATTTTTTCACAAGTGTTGATTCAATGCATGCTTTCTGCCTTAATGCATTGACTGTTTGCTCCCTTGTGCTGTGAGTTAAAGCCCTTGCAGGTAATTCAGACTTGTGGTAAGTAAGCAGGAGTGAGTTTTGGAATGTGTTGTCTTCCTGTATTTGCTTTCCTAAAACTTGAAAATTAGGCAAGAGGGTGATGTCAGGCCAAATTCAGTGGTTGAGAACTAAAAGCTCCTGTCCATAAGAGACAGCAAAAAAACTCCAGAAGAAGAGGGGCAGAGTGGAGTGGAAAGGCAAGTATTTGTTTCACTTTCTGGTATATTCAAAAATCTTACTTCAAGGTTGTGTTAAAAAACCTAGTGACAAGAACAGATTTCTAACCTAGAGTAAAAACTGTACTGTTAGAAATCAATCTTTTTGGGGTATCATAGGGAAACATAGAGATCTTACCTTGATTGATTTTTCCAGTTAGGATACAAATTTACATTCTTGCCACCACGTCTTGTTTACAATCAATTGATTAGGTGGTTTTTTTTGTCCTGAGATATTTTTTTTTTTATGTAGCTGATTTGGTTATTGGTGTGGGTGATGACAAAAAAATCAAATAGTTTAGATTCTAAAGGCATTTTTCAAACAATTAATGAAGTAATGGTTTAATTTTCCCTTCTCCCTTTAAAGGTAGCTGCAATTTGAATAACATTCAAGAATGTGTTGATGAGTAAGGCAGCACACATTCTTTTAGTATTCAGTAATAGAAGAATGCTTATCTTTGCCTCTGGAAACGTGTGCATCTTATTGAGCAGATTTTAGATTTTTTTATTATTGAATCTTTAAAAAGGCTCAGTATTTTGTAAAATCATTGTCTATTGTAAAAATCTCATGTACCATTAAATATGTACATTGTTATGGTGAAGGAGCACAGCTGGTATTGCTTTTCAATATTTGACTGCCTTCTTTGCAAGCTATTGAAATGCTGTTGTGCATGAATCACCATTTGGACAACAAGTGACATTTTTCATTCTTTACTAATCACCCTGCAGGGTGGGAGGGTAGTAGTAGATTCACTAGAAATACCATTAAGAATGACATATTAAGTTCCTAGTTGGCCTCATTATGAAATTGAGAAAAATCAAGAAAGCATTACTTGGTATACATGGGGTTTTGTTGTTGTTGTTGTTGTTTGTTTTTAAATAAAACAGTAAATGGTGCATAGCAGCATTATTGTGTAATAGATACAATCTCAAAGGCTGGAATTACATTAGTAACTCTGTTTTTAAGGTTGGGACAGTAAGCTTGATTTTTGACATCCCTTTCCAAAAATGTCTTTAATCCCCATTTTCCCACTCAAATTTATGATACTTTTCTGACATGGAGAATGTTTATTGAAAATTTTGAGGTTTGTTGGATAAAACTGTTTTGATGAGAGAAGTACAATTTTTTTTCAAGCTTTTGAAAAAAAGCCATCTTTACTACTTTGAGCACTGCATTGCAAAAAAATATATATATATATACACCTCTACCCCGATATAACGTGACCTGATATAACACAAATTCTGCTATAACACGGTAAAGCAGTGCTCCGGGGGGGGCGGGGCTGCGCAGTCTGGCGGATCAAAGCAAGTTCGATATAACGCGGTTTCACCTATAACACGGTAAGATTTTTTGGCTCCCGAGGACAGCGTTATATTGGGGTAGAGGTGTATATATATAATTTGTCCAACGATTACTGTTTTATAGGAATTTCTTTGACACTTGTCGTAGTATTTAGTTACTTACAGTATATTTGTCAGTTTGGATAGTTAATTTTGTAGTTGTTATACATACTATGCATTTTTAACTTGTAAGACCACCTCAAAAGTCTTGTCAGAGTGCACAACCTGAAAAAGGGAGTCAATATGTTGGAAAACTTTGTGGCTGGATCACTTTAGTTCAAGGAAGTTGGACATCGCCAGCAAAATATTTGATTTGAATATCAAGGACCAGGTCCTAGAATCTGGACAATCTTTCCATTGCAGGAATGTAGGAAGTGGAGCAGATGTCCTTATCTTTCCAATCCCTTCCCATAATCCTGGGGTCAAGCAGCAGGCAGAAAGGGTAAAGAGCAATTCTACTTCTGGCACAAACTGGATCAATGTTATCCCAGCTTGTAAAGGCTCCCAACAGCTGTTCCACTGGTCTAGGACTTGAGGACCTAATGGTGTTCAAGCCACTCCCCCTCCTATCTCAGAGTATCTCCTATCAGGGGTAGCATCAAGTTGACTATACCATCTATACGCTATCCAGGAATTCCCCAATGGAAGGGGTCAGTCTCCAGGTTGTTCAAGCCAGTTTTTCAGTGGGTCCTAAGATCTTACACTGAATGCCATGTATTAACACAAGATAGTATATCTCTTTATACTATATCTGTAATTACAGCAAAATATATTATTGCTATCAGAGGTACAGCCATTTGCAATTTTATCACATTTCAGTGTATTTTTTAAAAAAAACTTTATATCTAACAATGTGTGAATAGAATCTAACATTTTGACACCACATGCAACTTTTAAGTCTTGTAGCATTTTGAGGTCTATCTATATGCTCCTATTCCTTTAAATGGGCAAATATTTAAACTATTTCTCATTACAGTCATACTCTGTTTTTTCTTGTAAAAAGCAATGGAGAATCAACATATGACATTATTTTAAGGAAGGATATGTGGTAAAGAGCTGAATAGCTTTCTAACCCCATCCATTCAGCTATAAGAAAAATCTTTAAATGTAGCACATTATATTTAATTATAAAGCATATATAGGTGTTAGCCTCTTTGATATTGCTGGTACTTTTGTGCATTGTGACTTGGTTATTTGCATATATATCAATGTAACTGTTTCACATCTACAATTATTGCTACTACTATAGCTATCATAGCGCCTAGGAGCCCTTGTTGTACTAGGTGCTGTACAAACAATTCTTCCTAAATTCTACAAATCAAAAGTATATTGGCATTGGCATTCTTTTTATCGGTTAATCAAAGGGGGGAAATCTGCACAATTTTGCTCTGGGCATGTGTGTATTTTTTAATCTTTTTAAGTGTCTGGGGAGAGTTTTTAAATACTTTCTTGAGTTGCATTACAGTTTTGATTTTGTTCTGATTAAGTGTTTTTCTTCCTCAGTTTTGGCAAGCGTTCTGCAGGAAGCTTCAGGCGTGGCTGTGAATGCATTGTTTTAGAGCCATCTGAAATGATTGTGGTAAGATTGTGGTGCCCATTTCTTTCAAACAGTATTTTTTCAAATTAAATTACACTTTCAAGTTCTCATTAAGCATAGACAAAATTAGGTAACGCTTGAAATTACTTTGAATTGTCTATACTATACTCAGTTTAAGGTAGTACTAAATTTAGTGTGTGTGGTTTTCTTTTTTTAATTTAATGCCCTAGTTTGCAATCATAATACATAGCACAAAAGTTGGAAACACCATTTAATTAAATGAATGAAATAAACCTTTCAATAAAGATAAACTGCAAGTTTAAAAAAGTCTATTTAAAAAATGCCTGTAAGGATAAGACAATCATATTTGAAGTAGAGATGACAACTATGATTATCCACGAGTATTTATGACATGGTAATTAAGCATCTTTGTTTAAAATTGATAAACTAAGTTTAGTTTAAGAATTATTAACAGTTGATGATTAAATTCTGTTTTATTCCAGACATGTAAGGCTTGAGAATGCAGTTTAGGGATTTTTTTTACTATTAGAGTTAAAATTTTGTCGGCATTACTAGTGTAAAGACATATTTGTCATTTAGAACACCTGCTGTGGTCCAGTGCAGAATAGCTTTATTCCCCAGAGGGTTCTCAAATTCAAGACTTCTATCAGTGTCATAGGGCACATCATCCAAACAGATATACCTCCATGACAGGAGAGATTAAATACTTTTGCTCTCTTTCTGAAGGACGTGGTATTCAGACAATACAGACATAATCACCATATATCCATACACCAAATTATCCAAGCACCATATTATCCATACACCATATTATCCAAATGCAGGGCAAATCATATTCAATTGCTGAAAATAATGCCATCTGTATTTACTGGAGATGTTTTAGAAATCAAGATTAGTGAATTAGGCAGTATTGTAGAAGATATGAGTTATTCATACCTGCAGTATATCATAGAATCATAGGACTGGAAAGGACCTCGAGAGGTCTTCTAGTCCAGTTCCCTGCACTCAAGGCAGGACTAAGTATTAGAGCATCCCTGAGGTTATCATCTAACCTGCTCTTAAAAACCTCCAAGGATGGAGATCCAAATGTCCTGACTTCTAGAAGCATTAAAGAATAGCTTTCACACAAAGTGTAACTTTCTAACTTATTTAAAATGTATATCCATTAGTCTTCAAGTTTTTTAAATTCTTTGCCACTTTCACTCTAAATCAGGGGTCTCAAACTCAATTTACCTTAGGGCCAGTGCCAGTCCTCAAATCCTCCCAGCGGGCCAATAATATCACTCATGTCACCCAGAACCTGCCCCCCTCAAACTCTGCCCCCACCTGCCTAAGGCTCTGGGAGGGAGTTTGGGTGGGGGAGGCGGTCTGGGGTAGGGGTCCAGGCTCTGGGAGGGAATTTGGGTGCAGAAGGGGTGAGAGGTTGTGCTCTGGGAGGAGGTTTGGGTGGGGGAGGGGGTCTGGGGTGCAGGCTCTGGAATGGAGTTTGGGTGCTGGGTGCAGGCTCTGGGCTGGGGTAGGGAGTGAGGTTGCAGGCTCTGGGAGGGAGTTGGAGGTGGGAGGAGGTGTGTGGGAAGGGGGAGGGGGTGCAGGCTCTGGGAGAGGGTTGGGGGGTGTGGCGCTTACCTGGGGCTCCAACGCGGGGTGGGCAGTTTCCCATTGGGTGCAGGGGCGCTCGGGGTGGGGGCAGCACGCGGAGGCACAGCCCCGCAGGTGGTGCCAAGGGAGAGACCCGGCCCCAAAATTGCTGGAGCACTGCAGATCACATTGGGGAGGTTCTCGGGCCACAGATGGCCCGCGGGCTGGGACTTTGAGACCCCTGCTCTAAATTAATACATTGGTTGTGTAATGGCAGTTGACCTTGTCCTCTGTCGCCATCCTGCTAATAAAACTCTGATGCATTCTATTTTAGTGACTTCACAGCATAGAGGGAAGTAGAAATGAGAAATGCCTATTCCTCCCCCTGCCCTCCAATCCAAACCCCATAATTCTGCTGTGGGGAAAGTGGCAGTCAGCTCCTTTCAAGGTGTGAATCCACCCACTTTGTCTCCCTGTTCCCATTGTACCTTGTATATGTGGCTGCAGGTTCCGGGAACAGCTTGCTATCCCCAATTCCTGCTGCTATGATACCCATCTTTAGCTTTGGGTGGTACCAATGAATGCCTTTGGTACACAGCTCTTTGATGGGTTGGAGGAAAGTGAGGGACACAAAATGTGGGGGGTGGGGGAGGGAGAGGACAGAGAAAATAAGAAAAGGGGCCTAGCGGGGTGACAGGGAAAAGAGACCTGAGAAAAAAAGCTGCAGCTGTGGTAAGGCATGATGAGAGGGGCCTGTGGTAGGTGCTGGATGAGGGCACGTAGCTGACAATCCATCCAAAGTAGGTCGTGAATAAGAAGAGCTTTGGAACCTCTTAGTTAAACCTTTGAAGTATACTTTGGCCCAACCTTTTGGAGGGCTGACTGCACTTTGAGTGGAAAGAACTCAATATTCAGAGGACAACATGTGGAGCAGCTACCAAGTCATCACCACACATCTGTTGCATACCATAAGTGTCTATGGGTATGTCTACACTGCAATTAAAAACCTGTGGCTGGCCTGTGCCAGCTTGCTTCGGCAAAGCTGTTTAATTATGGTGTAGACCTTTTGGGCCTGGGCTGGAGCCTGAGTTCTAGGATTCTATGAGGTGGGAGGGTCCCAGAGCTTGGGCTGCAGCCCAAACCTGAATGTCTACACTGCAATTAACAGCCCATTAGCCCAAGCCCCGTGAGTCTGAGTCACTGGCATGGGCCAGCCACAGGTATCTAATTGTGCTGTAGACATACCCTTAATAGTTATGTTTAGTCATAATTTATACACCTGGTTAGGGTAGGACTGGTTCTTATTAAAACTTCTTGTCATGTCAGCAGAATGTACTGGTGTTTCATTTGTATAGATGGTGAAAAGAAACATGACAAGGAAAAAATCACCTGCATGGTGGTAGTTTGTCATCATCTTCTTTTCTTAACCCACCTACCACTACTTATGTCCTATTTCTCTTGGGGAATAATCTTTTTGGCCTTGGGATACAGATTGAGGAATGTGAATCGATTTAATCTGCACATAAGGACAATACTAGACAGTTTTTGCCACTTTCTGCTTCCTTGTAGATGTGGCGTAATTCTAGCATGAAATGATGGTGTTTTAGTAGTAAGATGGGCACAGGGGAGAGAGATACAAAAAGCCAAATTACTACAACTTTTTTATCTTGCATGAAAGTCAGAATTCTGAATTGTAAAAACATTTTCATAGCAATACATTACTATGTAGTAACATGACTGTGACTTTGCTGCAGCCTCCAGAACACAGAGAGGATATTGATATTGCTGAGCGGGAAATTTCTTATTCATACACTCATCTACTAGAAATGTTCTGGGTTTTTTTCCTTTGCTATTATTACAAAGTAAATTTCTTTTTATGTAAATTTAATCTTTTTCAAATTTCTCTGATGTGAAAATTCTTCTTTAAAAGTCTCAAAATATTTAAAATACGTAATTAAAACAGTGTTGCTTATTGAAGAGAGGCAGGATGGGAGTGGAAGGTCCCAGTATGACCCGTTGAAATCTGTAGGAAAGCTACAAGTTTCTTCCCATGGGAGAGCTTCGTTTGCCAGTGTATTGCATAGACAAAAACATTACTGTGTAAGAATAAAAATTGAGGAAAAGGATGTTAACTTTTTTTTTAAATAGAGTAAGGCACTTATATAATATGTGAAAGTGTCTGCTCAATAACTCTTTTCATAGTAATACTTGTTCTTTCTCATCCCTGCGGACATTTGATTTCTTGGCACTGAGTTCATGCTTTTCACTGTTGAAAATGCAGGAAATTCATAACCAACCACATTTTCTGAAATGGAGTTCAAAGTGCCCTTTCATAAACTAAATTTTAAACTAAAGTGGGCTTGTTCAGTAGCAGTGGCACTTATACTTAAGGATTGTCTAAAATAAAAGCTTCCACATGACTAAGAGCAAAAGAAAAGATAGGCTTCTGTTTTATTGCAGAATATGCAGTAACTTTCATTTGTAGGGAAATGACCCTTCATTGTATTTATTTTATTATAGGTGGACTATATGGATGAAAATGAAGAATATTTCCAGCGTCAAGCTTCCCATAGACAATCCCGAAGGAGATTTAGGAAAATCAATCAAAAAGGAGAAAGACAAACCATTATTGATACTGTGGATCCTTATCCTGTGGGGAAGCCACCTTTACCTAGAGGTTATCATACGGTAAGTTACCTATATTTGTTTTAAATACAAGACAAGGGAAAAACATTTTTACAAAAATAATCACCTGAAAGGTCAAATTCACTGTGGGAGTTTCTCCTTAGGGTATCAGTGAATTTGGCCCAAAGTGTGTGCGTGTGCCCATGTAATTTGCTTCATAACTCAGTTGAGAACACTTAGCTTGTTGCACATTTATTGTTGTTAAACAATGCTGGCAAGAGGACAGCACATATCTTTTCTCACAATTCCAGTCATTTTTGGCAACTTTGAAACAAATCAGTTACTTAATACATGTGATTCAAATTTCCTGTCAATAACTGAAAATGTAATAGAAATATTTTGGTGTACAGTATTCCTAATCAGTAAAGCATTCACTTTTATGTATAGCAATTGTTTTCTGAAAAGTGTATTGCATTGTGGTAGAAATAGTTCATGATTTGGCTTGTCATTTCTCTATGCAAGACCCAGAGCTGAGAATATTAAACTAACTTTTATTGCTGACTAATACGAGACCAGAAGTTTCAGTCTGAACCATGATATTTTTGCCCAGAGTGAAATACTGCAGTCTGTCCTTTATCATCAGACAAAGCATCGTCAGAATTTTCTTCAAAATAGTTTTTGTGTAATTTTACAGATTGAAAATTATAGGCTTTCTTTATAAAAGATGAAGGATCATAAATACTAATATTTTAAACGTGTTCTACAAAATTATTTTTTGGACTATTTTATTTTTCTGTTGAGCAAGGGTCTACCAGGATAAGAGTAATTAGTTTTGCTGTTAACTTCAGCAGCATACAAAATACTCAGAAAAGTAAGTGGCCTTCAGATCCTGTACTCAGCTGTTTTTTTTATGGCCCTGAACCTCCAAAAATATACTAGTACACACATAGATAACTTTATGCATGTGATTGGTCATATTGAGTATAAAGTTACTCAAGCACACAAGTGTTTGCAGAATCAGGGCTTGATTGTTTTAAAAATGCTGTCTCTAATTTGAAGTAGTGGTTTTCCCCCTCATTTTCTCCCTACCCATCCACATTCCTTTACTTGTTGCCAATTCCCTGTTGTAATCCATTGCATGACTGTAAATGTGTAGATGTTTGATTACATCCACTGTTAGAGATTTTTCCTCCTGAGTTAAATAAATACATCTTACATCAACACTTTATGTATTTTGTTTATACAACAGGCCCCTTTTAATGGTTTAATGTTCTGTGCAATTTTGATTTTTTCCAAATGCATTATGAATTTCTGAGTTGAGTCATTTCATTTGGCTCATTCGTATAACTCTTTTGCAGTTTTAAGATAAGAGATTATATTAGTTTATCACAAACCACCTTTATGTGGCATGCATGTTTGGGTGATGTGGAGGAAGGAATTGTTGATGGTTTTTATATAGATGTAACTTATACATCTAATCTACTATTTGAAAAATGGTAACTAGACTTGAGAATGCCATTTGCTTTAGGAGGGCCACACCTATTATATAAATTACTTTTTAAGAATACATAATGGGTTGGTGTAGATTTAAATCCAGTACTAAGAGCAAAAGCTCATCGTTAATCATTCTGTTTAAGTTCATAATGAATTTACAAGTCTACTGGGAAATACATTATGAGAATGCCAGGTAGACTGTCAGTAAAACCTGAAATAATTACTGACAATTTTTTTTAAATCAATGTATAATTTAAATTAATTATTTAATTACTTGAGATACTTTTTTTAGGGAAAATATTAAGAGCAGCAAGTTCAAATTGGAATTATGGAAATTGAAGACTTTACCAAGCACTATAAGAATAAAAATAATCTTCATTGTTTACATTCCAATCACAATGATATTATTTATATTCTCTATACTGCATTTTCCAGTCACTCACATCTGTGTAGTTTGTCTCTTCCTCACTCTCCTGCCTTTTGGCCACCCAAAAGGCTTTTTGTTTGTTTTAAAATCAAAATTGTTTGAAAATCTAAATGTCTTTACAATGGTACTGAAATGTATTCTCTGAAACTGATAGGAATGCAAAGTGCATTATTTTAGTACAACTCCTGAGGGGTTCTGACCATTCACAATTCCCATTAGTCAGCATCTCTCAGGATCAGGCCTTTAGTTATCTAAAATTTAGAAGTTGGTATGAATAAACTAACACATTTTAAAAAAAAGATTTTGAAAACCCCCGTATGAAATGAATGGTCAAGTATATTGGATTAGTCTTCAGTTGCATGATCTAATTTTAGTGTCCATTGTGGGTATGTTTTGATTTGCATGTTAAATACATTAAGATCAATAATAAAAAATAAATAAAATAAAATAACTTCATCCAGAAAATAGATTGCATAGCTTTAGAGTAAACTAGATTCTTGAATTTTATTTTATACAAGTTCCTTACTTACCACATCACTGAAATGTTTGCTGAAAGATTATCAATATTTTACTTCACATTGGCCCAATTGATTGTGTACTTAAAAAGCTGGTGTTCGTAATAGTCAAAAAATGACATGCAAAATAGCATCTCTGAAGGAAGTTGGCTATAGTGAAAATGTAGATGAAATTATATAAAGATAGTTATAAAATGGAAAATACATGACAGTACTTTGCAAAAATTGTAAATAAAGCTAAATGCATACGTTTAATTGTTGCATGGATTACAGAACATTTACACAAACAGCCAATTTATCAGGGAACAGGACTCACCTTAAAATAATTTTAACATTATCTGATGGTGGTATGTACTATAGCATGTGTGATAATGTTCATCTTTTCCTTTCTTCCTATACGGCATTCATTTCATTTTGGCTCACAGGAATGCACTAAACCTCAGGTATTGTAATTTATACGTATGGTCCACTAATAGTTTTACTTGTAAGTTTCCAGTGTGACTAATTGTGTCATAATACCAATGCAGTGTTATGGCTAAATTTGTGTCCTACCTTTGTTTTCTTTATTGATGTTTTCTATATTTCTTCTATAGTGAGAATGCTTAAAATAAATGTGGGATTTGGTGACAGCACACAGTCTCCTTAACGTGATTACAGTAGACCCTCAGAGTTACAGACACCTCGGGAAAGGAGGTTGTCCGTAACTGAAATGTTCCGTAACTGAACAAAATTCAGCTCCAGCTCCAGTAGTTCACAATCTGGGCCAGGTTCCATAGGCAGCTTCCTTGCAGGCAGCTTCTTTCCCTGCTGGGGCAAGCTTGTCCCCCGACTGTGGTGGGGTGTGAGGGGTGGTGGTGGTGAAAACAGTGCATCTCCTTCCCAGCGGGGGGATTGGGGGTGGTGAAAACAGCAACCCTCCTCCCAAGGGGTGTGTGTGAAAACAGCACCCATGGCTTACATGAAAGCATCGCAGACCCAATGCTGCTCTTGCTCTGGCTGCCTTGAGCTGGCAGTGAGGGCTCACAGCGTCGCCTGTGAATCTGTAAGGGGGTGGGGGTGGGGGTAGAGGTGGGGACAGACAGCCCAGATGTGCCTACCTTCAAGATGCAATACAGGCATAGTACTGTATTTGCTTTTTTTTTGGTCTCCGCTGCTGCCTGATTGGTTACTTCTGGTTTCACATGGTGTCTGGTTGACCAGTCAGTCTGTAACTCTGGTGTTCGTATCTTTGAGGATCTACTGTAATTTATCTTCTTCCTTGCCTTCATGACATCACAAGATTGAGGCAATATCATTGGAGGATGATGTGCAAAGCACAGAAATAAGGAAAATAGGTAGTATATTTAACAGAATGCATTTATGTATTTCCTCAGTATAGATAACTTATTAGACTTTTGTATTGGTTCCAAAAATAAAGTCCATTTGCAGCTGTTCTGCCCTTGCACTTTGTAAGGTCAGGAAAATAAGTTGGAGAAATGAAAAAGTAGGCAGTGGAAATTTCGTTAGCTGAAAATTTGTAGGTTTTGCTTTTGCCATTTTGCTGCTGTTTGATTCAGCATGAGACAGTGAGATTAGACTTTATTACGGTACTCTTTAGTTGCTCTTGATTGAAATGGGGAAGGAGTTTGAATGGGCTTACCAGAACATGTTGAAGAATCACTGTCAGGAAAGTCATGTCTGAGTGAATAAGCGAAGTTCTAGATTGGAGCCAGTCTCACTTGAACAAAAATTAAAAGATTGTAGGATTTCTCTCTCAGATCAGCTCTTAAATACCAACATACTTTGAAGACCTAGATGCCATGCTTTATGATTTTAAATTTTACTTTTAATTACATTGATGCAAATGAAAAAAACACTTATGCATATACTATATGTGATACTTTATAGGAATTTATTTGGTATATTTTGTGCCACAGAGTTAGTGATGTAAAACATAAAGAAATCCCTTTGGTACGTAGAGCTTGGTTGACAAATTAAAAGAACAAGTTTCTTTAAGATCCTTGCTTTGAGCAAAATATTCTTTTTTTTGCTTTATCCTGCTGACCTTATAGCAGGAAATTTGATTACTATTTTTTAGCTAACCCTATGCTACACTACTATTGTACTGGCACTCAATTCATTTGTGTATTTGAAGGTTTCTTGTTCTTTTGGGATTATCAAAAGGGCTTCAGTGCTGTTTCTTACAAAGCTGTTAGGTGTGAAATAGCTTGTCGTGCTGAAATACCATCTTTTTGTAACAATAAAGATATATTTTTGTCTTTCTAGGAGCCCAGTCCTCCTCTCTTTTGAAATCAATGGTAAAACTCCCCATGACTTAGGTGGGGTAAAAATTGAGCCCTAACTGCACAGTAATAGTAGGGAAATTCATTCCAATGTTAACTACGGTAGTTCAATTTCTTACTAGAATGTGAGGGGGCATACTTCATCATTGATACAATATGTTGGTTTAATAGTCCTTCTTAATAGTCTTAAATATGAATGATCATATGAAATAAATCAGGATTCTGATCTTAAGTATGGCCCTTAAAAATTAACGTAGTTTTCTAGACAGTTTTTTTTTTTTAAGAGGATTGGAATAGAACAGTGTAGGAGAGGTATTCTAGTAATAGCTTCAGATAGATTAATAAACTCTTGCATATTTAACTAACCAGTGTAATGCTTAAGGTTGATCTTAAAATGGGGATTTTGGTGTCTTTGCATGTATTATAGTCAGAGCTGGTTGCCTATAGTTAGGGATGCACAACAAAGCATTTTCCCTTATAATACTTTATTTTTGGTGGCTTATAACTTTGCTAAACTTTAACCATTTGGGCTGAAATTTTTCATGCTTTGTATTTGCTTGAGATTTTTAAAAAAACTTCAGCAAAAACAGCCATTTCCATTAATAAGATTAGGGAAAATTAGATAGGTTTACCAAAGTAAAATTTTTCTGATCATTTTTGTAGGTGTTCTAGTGCCCATGTGCCAGAATTGGGGCTGCTCTGTAATAATTTATGAAAACTGTGTTGATGTTTGCTTAGTATCTGAATATGTTGGTTTAGATTAATAGGGTCTGTAAGAAAACACAAGCAGACAGGAAAAAGAATGTCTCAAGATAAGCCACATGTTCACAAACACTTGAGGGTTCTTAGGAGACAATGCCTGGACAGGAAAGGGCCTGTGAATGCCCAAGAGGAAAGAGAATTGTAGCAGGGTTTAAAAAGGGACTCTCAAGAGGGGGGTTGGTTGGGGGAACTGAGCTGACAAAGGTACCTGCTGGGGTGTCTGAAGAAGTTGGGTGTTCCT